AAGGTGTTCCGATGATGATGATGTTGTCCCGATGATGGTGACGTTGATGGTGATGATGATGGTGACGATGATGGTGTCCCGAGGGTGATGATAATGGTGATGATGATGATTTTGATGATGATGGTGATGAGGAGATGATGATGATGGTGTTCCAATGATGATGATTATGATGATGTTGATGACGTTGATGACGCCGATGTTGAAGATGATGATGGCGGTGTTTGTGAGATCGAATGTGATATCGATAGTGAGACCGAATGCGAGATCGATTGTGAGATCAATAGAGAGATCGATAGTGAGATCCAGTGGGAGATGGATAGTCTGATCGATTGTGAGATCGATTGAATAAAACAGATCGAGTGAGATCGATTGCGAGATTCATCGAATGAGATCGATCGAGCGAGACCAATAGTGCGAGATCGAGAGTGAGATCGATAGCGAGACCGATCGAGTGAGACGCCGCCCCCCCCCCCCCCCTCCCCCCCCGAACCTCCATATCACCCGAAGGGTGGTCGTATAGAGAGACGCTGAAGTGGGCCAAACGACGCACGTGCTCCAGGAAATCTTCTTCATGAGCCTTCCATCGTGGTCGGTTCCGAGAGAATTCCCACCATTTGGAGGAGTCGCTGCCGGCGGCAGCCATGTCGTGAAGATACGGAACAATGTCATCATCCCAAAGATCCTTCTGTCCACCATGTCAACCAAACGCTGGGCGCGAGTCCTGCGAACGCGGGTCGCAACGCGCATCCAGTCGCGCCCACCTGTCGCGATCGCGGTTGGCGACGCGCGCTGCGGAAGCCCATTCTCGCATGGAATATGCGTCCGTCCAATTACCGACTCGCGCTCGTTGGGCGAGTGCCAGAACGGTGGAAGTACTTCTCCGTATGACACGAGCCCAAGATTATGATCCGTCGTCGTTGGCTCCGTCGTTTGCTGCTGTCAGTGCTGGCGTCGGTGCTGGTTTTGGTGTTGTTGTCGGTTCTGGTGCTGTTGTCGGTGATGGTGCGGTTGTCGGTGTCGGTGCTGTTGTCTGTTGGTGCGGGTTCTGGTGCTGTGGTGGCTGGCGGTGCTGGTGCTAATGTCGGTGCTGGTGCTGGTGGCGTTGTCGTCGTCGTCGTCCGGTGCCGTTGTCGGCGCTGGCGTCGGCGCTGGATCCGATGCCGATATTGTCGGCGCTTGTACAATTATTGCTGTTATTGCTGCGAACGTTTGCTCTCAGTCGCGTTTGTTCAGGCATAATCCGTCTTCTCGACGTACTTATGATCAGTCAGATCATCATCCCTTGCGTTCGTTGCAACGCGATGGGCACATCCTTGATAAGTGTCCACGAAAAAAACAAACATACAGAACGCATGGTGGGATCGTGCCGCTGAAGAGCCGGAGCCTGCCGTGCAGGGGAAACTGTTTGTGGGTGAGTTCGCCCCGCAGTTGGTGAATATTCGACCATCCCGCGGCGATCCTGTTTTTGCCAGCTCGTCGTGAAAATCGTGGAAGAATAGCCTTCTGCCCAAGCGTGTCGCACTCCGGTCGTTGGGTAGAATGTCTATACGTGCATGATCCAAGATGATGTGCGCGATTGTGCTGCCGGCCCTCCAGCTGACGTTGGTGAGAAGATTTGCCTCGTCGGGGTGCAATGAGAGCCCACAGCATGATGCTTTGCCTTCCAAGTCGCGTAACAAGCATATAAGTTGGCAAAAGTGCGGGGCGAGCAGCAGAACGTCGCCTGCGAAGCGCAGGTTCGTGACGCTTGCTTCTTGAGAGAAGCCGAGCGTGATGCCGAAACTTGTTCCGTTGCCAACTGGGCTTGGCTTGTCGGAAAACGTGCTCCAACAGCGCTCTGAACAGACAGGAGCTGAGCGGATCTCCCTGCTTCACACCCCGCTGCATGCTAAAAGTTCGACTGGTGGCATCAGTGCGGACAATGGCCGTCTGCTCGTTGTACGTGTGCTTCAGGAGGGTGATGCACGCTTCGGGAGTGCGTTGCTGTCGTAGCGCATCCCACAAGTGCTTGCGGCCCGCGCAATCGAACACCTTTTTGAAGTCGGCTGCTGCCGCGCAGTGGCAACTGCCAACACACAGACTCCTCGTGCAACATTGCTGTCGTGAAGAGGTGGTCTTCGGTGCCGAACCCTTGCCGGAAGCCAGCCTGGTCAGGGCTCTGTTGCGCGCCAAATGTGGTTTCCACTGAGTTGCAGAGGAGGCGGGACATGCGTTTGTACAACAATGGCGTTATGGCAACCGGAATGTAAATTTGTGGTGGCTCAAGGCCGCCAGATCTACATATCACCGTGATCGTCGTGTTGTTTTTTTCAATTTTGCGGGCGATGGTTGGTTTGGCTTGGTTATGTCGCTGTAGAGCTGAAGCATCTGAAATTAAATTGCGGCCCCCCCCGCTTTCAACAAAATCGGCTGCGAATCCTGCCGCGTCGCTGCACTTGCCGCGCTTCAGTTGCTTGATGGCTCGTCGAAGCTTGTTAGCTGTAAATGGTGGTATGCTCGAGTCTGCTGTCGCGGTGGCGCTGCTGGAACCGTCGGCATCGTCCTGCAGTGCTTTATAGAGTTGGTGGCGAAGTTGTCTGCGATGCTCTGTCTGTTCGTTTCTTCGTCGCCAGTTGGGGTCGTCATTGACGAGATCACGTCCTTGTCTTTAAACGTTTTCGTGCCTCCGATTCCCTTGAGGCCTTTGACTTGGCACACGATGGCCTGTATCTTGGCGCTTTCCCGGGAGCGCTTGATGGTTCGAAGCTGCTCCAAAATAACTTTGTTCAGTGTGTTCATAGTGGTTGTGTCGGTGTTCAGTGTGCTGCGCCATCAATCAATGAAATCGCGTAGCTTGTGGTTTGATGTGATGTCGTTTCCGCATGCTGGGTGTCGCGGTGCAGTGTCGTGATGTTCGTAGTGGTTGCCGTGAGCTTGGACAAAGGCTTTGGTGATGTGGTCGTTCCTGTCGTCAGCGCTGGCTGCGACGTCGAGTCATGCACCTGGTTGCGACGATCTCTGCCGATGGGAATGTAGTCGATCTGTGCTTGGGCATGGTGTCCCCCGCTGCTGGTATAAGTGAAGACGGTGCGATGGTGTGTTGTAGAATATCATGTTGGTGAGAAGCATTTTCTGTGAATATGCCCGTAACCACATCCCACGCGTGTTGCACGCCTCCATTCCGTGCGGGCCTACTGTGTCCCTCTGGCCTTTGTTGGTTTTGTCTTCCTCGTCTGCGTTGGTGGGATGTTTGCCAACCTGCACGTTGAAGTCTCCAGTGGTGATTGTGGTGCGCGTCGGCTTGGCAGCTTCGTGGTGGAGCGCGGTCAAGCCGTCGTACATCTGCTGGACGTGGGCGTCGGGGTACGTGGAGTATCGGAAATAAGCTGTCACAACTCTCATCTTGCAGGCGGATGTGCCGAGATCGATGTAGGCGATGCGCTCGCTGATGCGTGTGAAGCATTTAATGCTGTGCGCGACCCGTCGATGAATAAGAAATGCAATGCCTCTTGATGTGGTGGTGTGGCCGCCTGCCGCGAATACATGAAACCCCAACTTCGTTGCCCACAACTCTCGTTCTTCTGTTGTCCTCCAAATTCATTAGTGCCAAGATGTCTCTTGTAACAGCCCCTAATTCGCAAATCAATGTGTCGACGGACTCGTCTGTGCTGATGCTTCTCGCATGTTGTTTGTAAGTTGAAAGCGGCTGAAGTCGGTGCATTGGTCCCCAAAATCTTGTCCGACAAAAACGTTGCTCTTCTCGGACGGGAGGTCCGGAAGAAGGGCTTGAGTCGGAACATGTGCTGGGATGTGGGGTAGCGTTGTCAGTGGTGGGGAGCGGAAACTGAAAGTCCGAATGTGGAGGCTGGGAGTCGGAAGGTGGAAGCTGGAGGTCGTGGGAGTGGGGCTGGAAATCGGAAGCTGGACACTGAGAGTCGGAAGGTGAAAGCTGGAGGTCGGATTGTGGAAGCTGAAGGTTAGAGGTCGGATGTTGGAGGTCAATAGGTGTGGGTGGAAGTGGGAAGTCGGACGTTGAAAATTGTACGTCAAAATGCTTAGCCAGTGGAGTCTGGAGGTCGATAGTTGGGGGAAGTGGGAAGTGGAATGCTTGTGGTTGGAGCTCGGAGTGGTGAGCTGGTGGAGGTTGGAGTTGAACAGGTGGAGGTGGAGGTGGACAGTCAGGTGCTTGTGGTTGGAGGTCTGAATGTTGGAGTGGTGAAGGTTGAAGGTTGGAGTGCGCGACGCTAAAGCGACAGCCACATTTTGAAAACCACCCGCCCTCCATCAGTGAGGCTACGGTCATTGTTTCAGTTTCAGGGCCATAAATGGTGAGGAAGTCTCAAGCGAAACGCCCGGCCCGCCCTTTCGACTGGTCTCGGGGCACGACATGGAGCTTTGTCTAAGGAAAAGGAATGAAGGAGGAGGGTGAGCCACGCCCCCTATGCCAATCTCGGGGGAGAGGAGGAGGGGGGAGGATTACCCGGCCCGCTGGAGGGGCGCGGTGGAGTGCGCCCGAACCCAGACTCCGGGATGGGGCGATCATCGGAGAAGCACTGCAAAATGCGGGGCAGCCTGCGGAGGTGTTGAGTCACCAGAGTCCAACAGTTGTCCGAGAGCGGGCCACATCCTCAAAGCAAAGGCGATATTAACCAAACACCTGTCGAGAGGAGGGGGAGGGGTGGTGGGGGGGGAGACGGAGGCGCGGAAGGGGAGGGGGCGGAGGGGGGAGGTCGGGGGCGAGGAGAGCAAGACAGGAGGGAAGACGAAGGGATGAGGCGGGGACTGGGGAAGAGGGCGGAGAAGTCGGCACGCCATGCCGTGCGGACGGCGCGGGTCCAAACAGGCCGCGTCGTTCGTTGCTAGCTGGGCCAAGTGAAATAAACAGCGCGCGCCACATTATGCGCGCGCTGGAGAGACCCTTCCTTCGAGGAGGGAGGTCGGATCAGGCTCCAGGTGGAGTAGGAAACGAGGAGGGTGAGGAAGCAGGGGGGCGCCCGAGAAGAGCGGCGCCGCTGCCCAGGTCATGCGCCCAGAGCTTGGCCGAACGGGGTCCCCGCGTCAATCTCGCACTTCTCCACGTACGCGCAAAACTCCGCCAGCATCACCACGCTGTCGTTGCCGTACTCCTTGCCTTCGGCGTCCTTGCCGCTGTTCATCTTCTTGAACACCTCCTCGGCGCCCGCAGCGTCCAGCTTGGCAGCGTCGCTCAGGCCGACGAAACCGTGCTTCGCGACAGTCTTGTAGCCCTGCTTCCACTCCGCTAGAGTCATCTTGCGGTCGTCGCCGGACTTGTCCTCGACGCTGCCGCCACCGCCGTCGATGAGGGCGAAGGCATCGTACATAGCTGCGTACAGGATGAGGTAGGTGCAGAGCAGGCGGAACTCCTTCGCGGTGACGTAGTCGTCCGCGCGGCTCCCGCCGCCGGCGATGTCCTTCGCGTCGGTGTGGGCGCGGATGTAGGAAGCGCGGAAGCACTTCCAGATGCGGGTCCCCTCCTCCTTGGGGTCTCCGTCGCAGCCCTTCTGCCCGAAGTAGGTGATCAGCACTTTCTGGATCCACCCGTCCACCTCGGCAAGGGAGACGTACCCGTTGCCATTCGGGTCGCAGGCTGCGAAGGCGTGTCCGCGGGCGACCCGGCCCTCGTCCGTCTTGTACGTCAAGCTCTTGAAGACATCGCAGAAGGTCTGGCAGGCGGGCGACATACCCGGACTCTTGAACTCCATCTTGTCGCCGCTGTTGCCAAGGTAGTTCGCGAGCTCGTCGAAGCTGAGCTTCCCGCTGCCGTCCGAGTCGAGCTTCTTCCAGACAGTCTCTATGGACTTCTCGTCGATCTTCGGGTTCCCCTTCTTGAGGAGCTTCGCAAACTCATCCTTGCTGATCGTGCCGCTGCCATCCGTGTCCAGCTCGGCGAACTTCGCCTTGAGAGCCGCGGCCATGTCGCCAAGCGGGAAAGTCGCAGGGCTGGCAACCCCAGAAGCGCCTCGAGCTGACCTGGATCCGTCCCTTGAGTTCAAGACGGCTTGAGCCAAAATGGCTACGGAAGGGACGAGGACGGGCAGACAAGGAGGAAGGGCAGGACGAGGCTGGCGAGGGCCTCCGCGCGGCAGCGGGAATGCGCCCAAAAGTAGAGTTTGGATCTGGGCATCGGAAGTAAGGAAGCAAGGGCCTTGGACCCCCATGCCGAAGCTTCTCGAGCGGTGCGCGGTCAACGAAAGCAGCCAAGGGCGGGTCGAGGAGGCAAGGATGCAGGGGTACCCTCGGGAAGGTTCCTCGTCCTTACTGTGCGGGTTCACTGCACGCAAACACGCCGCTTGAAGCAGCGTCGGTGGGACAAGAGTGCCTACAGCGTGAAAACAACGACCTGGCAGAGGACGGCGGAGTCCCGAAGAAAAACGTCGCGGCCAACGCAAACCCGGAACGCCTCGAAAAACGCAGCTAATATCCCTCGCGATGGGCTGCCTCCGCGATCTCCCAGGGAAGGGGGGTCCCTTTTCCTGGGGACGGCGGTGCAGCAACACCGCGGCTGGGGCCAAACAGCTCCAATGAGGACGCGCTGCAACACAGGCCCCCTTTGTGGCCTGGAAGCGCCGAGAGGAAGAGACAGCCGCCTGCTCGGTGCTCGGTGGCTGGTCCAGACGGCTACGACTTCGTTGAACCTCGTCCCCAGCCGTGGTGACGGATATGGCCGATCCTGGAAACCCTGAACCCTAAAAAATGTTGCCATCTCTTGGGGGGCGCATCTTTTGATTCCGCCGGCTTCCGCTGGCGCAGCGGGCCCCGCTTTACTTCTGCCAGCTTCCGCCCTCCCGGCGGCTTCCGCTGAGGAAGACATGCCAACTCCTTCAATCCTCGAGCGCAAGGCCCTTTCTGGAACGCCTCATTTGCGCGGCAGCGCAAACGCAGAGCACATCCTCCAAGACCTTGCCTCAGATGTTGCCTCCAGGGGGGGCCCAAGAGCTCCCCGAAGTGGCACCTAAAAGATGGTGATACCCTGGGCCAGTACCGTTCGGAGATTGAGGGGCAACGATAGGGGGGAAACATCGAGCTGGAATCGGCGATACATCGCAGATAGATCGGCGACAAGCCCACGATGGCGAATCCGGATGTTCCTGGGCGGGGTGGGGCTATCAGGGCCCTATCGGCGATCGATGGGCGATTGGGGCTGGGACTTGTCAACCGTACGATGACGAAGCAAACTCAGGGCAAAATCGGGTCGGGATAAATCGAGGAATTCTGTGAGCTGGCAGGTCTGGAAGGGACGTATCGGGCAACGCGGCCGCTCCAGAGCGCTCCGGGGCGCTCGAAGAGCGCTCTGGCGCGCTCTTAGTGTGATGAATCCCGATCTAAGGCCTGCCTGACCCAGTCAGGGGAAACAGGAGGAGGAGGAGGACCCCTGCAAACCCAAGACTCATCAACGATGTTGGAATAACTCTCCCCCTCCAAGCTCACTCTTCATAGGCCCCTACAAAGATACATGTTCTACCGAAGGGAATGCCCCCGTTGGGTCACCATCGTCCGAAGGCCCTTAAATGTGCCAAAACAGCATTCTCGGGATTCCAACGCCACGAATCAACCTGATGGTTGCGTTTTGACGATCCTGAAACATTTATGATATGCTGACCCTGGGAATACGTGTAACTCTTGTAAATACATAAAACGAATGTACGCGGCGCTAAATCGAGAAACACATGTTGAAAACAACCCTCCCTTCAGCCGCGAAACTCTTGCGATTGCTTAAGACGAATGCGCGCGGCGAGAAGGCGAGAACCACATGTTGAAAGCCACCCGCCCTGCATCCGTGAAACTCTTGCAACTTGTGAGGAATAATGGGCGCGTCGCTGAGGCGAGAACCACATTCTGAAAACGGCCCGCCATCCATCCGTGAAGCTCTTGCAACTTGTTGAGAAAAATGCGCGCGGCGCTAGGGCGAGAACCATACGTTGAAAACGACCCGCCCTCAATCAGCGAATCTCTTGCAAACTTTGAAAACGAATGGGCGCGGCATTGATGTAAGAGAGAGAGAGAGAGAGAGGAAGAGAGAGGGGGGGAAACCAAAAGAAACGAGAGAGAGAGAGAGAGAGCGAGAGAGAGAGAGAACGCCAAAAAACGTCCCGGGGGGACGGCCCTACGAGAGCCCGGCGGGGGCGCCGGAGCGCCAGAAGGCTCACGCGTTGTAGGTGCTGGAGCGGACCAAACGACGCATGTACTCCAGGAAATCTTCTTCATGAGCCTTCCATCATGGTCGGTTCCGAGCCAATTCCCACCATTTGGAGAAGTCACTGCAAGTGGCAGCCATGTCGTGTAGATAAGGAACAATGTCATCATCCCAAAACTTGTTCTGTCCACCATGTCAACCAAACGCTGGACGCAAGTCGTGTGAACGCGTGTCACAACTCGCATCCACTCGCGTCCACCTGTCGCGATCGTGGTTGGCGACGCGCGCTGCGAAAGCCCATTCTCGCTTGGAATATGTGTCCGTCCAATTGTCGGTTCGCGCTCGTTGGGCGAGTGCCAGAACGGTGGAAGTACTTCTCCGTATGACATGAGCCCAAGATTATGATCCGTCGTTTGCTCCGTCGTTTGCTGTTGTCAATGCTGTCGTCGGTGTTGGTTTTGGTGTTGTTGTCGGTGCTGGTGGTGTTGTCGGTGCTGGTGTTGTTGTCGGTGTTGGTGTTGTTTTCTGTTGGTGCAGGTTCTGGTGCTGTGGTGGGTGGTGGTGCTGGAGCTGATGTCGGCGCTGGTGCTGGTGGTGCTGTCGTCGTCGTCGTCCAGTACCGTTGTCGGTGCTGGTGTAGCTGTTGGATCCGATGCCGATATTGTCGGCGCTTGTACAATTATTGTTGTTGTTGCTGCGAGCGTGTGCTGCCTGTCGTGTTTGTTCACGCATAATCCGTCTTCTCGACGTACTTATGATCAGTCGGAGCGTTATCCGTTGCGTTCGTTGCAACGCTATGAGCACATCCTTGGTGAATGTCCACGAAAAACAACCATACATAACGCATGGTGTGATCGTGCCGGTGAAGAGCCGGAGCCTGCTGTGCAGGGGAAACTGTTTGTTGGTGAATTCGCCCCGTAGTTGGTGAATCTTCGACCATCCCGCGGCGATCCTGTTGTTTTCAGCTCGTGGTCGTGGAAATCGTGGAATGATAGTCTTCTTCCCAAACATGTCGTACTCCGGTCGTTGGGTAGAATGTCTATACGTGCATCATCCAAGATGATGTGCGCGATTGTTCTGCCAGCCCTCCAGCTGACGTTGGTGAGGATATTTGCCTCGTCGGGGCGCAATGAGAGCCCATAGCATGATGCTTTGCCCTTCAAGTCTCGTAACAAGCATGTAAGTTGGCGAAGGTTCGAGGCGCGCAGCAGAACGTCTTCTGCGAAGCGCAGATTCGTGATGCTTGCTTCTTGAGAGAAGCCGAGCGTGATGCCGAACTTTGTCCGTTGCCAACTGGGCTTGGCTTGTCGGAAGACGTGCTCCAACAGCGCATTGAACAGAAAGGAGTTGAGCGGATCTCCCTACTTCACACCCCGTTATATGCTAAAAGTTACACTGGTGGCATCAGTGCGGACAGCGGCCGTCTGCTCATTGCACGTGTGCTTCAGGAGGGTGATGTACGCTTCGGGAGTGTGTTGCTGTCGTAGCGCATCCCACAGGTGCTTGCGGCCCGCGCAATCGAATAACTTGTTGAAGTCGGTTGCTGCCGCGCAGTGGCAACTGCCAACAAGAAGATTTCTCATGCAACAATCTGTCGTGAAGAGGTGGTTTTCGGTGCCGAACCCTTGCCGGAAGCCGGCCTGGTCAAGGCTTTGTTGTGCGTCAAATATGATTTCCACTGGGTTGCAGAGGAGGCGGGACATGCGCTTGCACAGTAGTGGGGTTATGGCAATCGGAATGTAATTGTGTGGTGGCTTAGGGTCGCCAGATTTGCATATCACCGTGATCTTCGTGTTTTTGTTTTCAACTTTGCGGGTGATGGTTGGTTTGGCTTGGTTATGTCGCTGTAGAGCTGCTGTAGAGCTGAAGCAAATGTGATAAATTGCGGTCCCCCCCGCTTTAAAAAAAATCGGCTGTGAATCCTGCAGCGTCGCTACACTTGCCGTGTTTCAGTTGCTTGATGGCTCGTCGAAGCTTGTTAGCTGTAAATGGTGGTATGCCCGAGTCTGCTGTCGTGGCGGCGTTGCTGGAACGGTCGGCATCGTCCTGCGGTGCTTTATAGAGTTGCTCGTAAAAGGTGGCGAAGACGTCTGCGATGCTCTGTCTGTTCGTTTCTTCGTCGCCAGTTGGGGTCGTCATTGACGCGATCATGTCCTTGTCTTAAACGTTTTCGTGCCTGCGGTTCCCTTGAGGCCTTTGACTTGGCACACGATGGCCTGTATCTTGGCGTTTTCCCGGGAGCGCTTGATGGTTCGAAGCTGCTCCAAAATTAGTTTGTTCAGTGTGTTCATGGTGGTTGTGTCGGTGTTCAGTGTGCTGCGCCATCAGTCAATGAAATCGCGTAGCTTGTGGCTTGATGTGATGTCGTTTCCGCATGCTTGGTGTCGCGGAGCAGTGTCGTGATGCTCGTGGTGGTCGCCGTGAGCTTGGACAAGGACTTTGGTGATGTGGTTGCTCCTGTCGTCAGCGCTGGCTGCGACGTCGAGTCATGGACCTGGTTGCGACGATCTTTGCCGATGGGAATGTAGTCGATCTGTGTTTGGGCATGGTGTCCCCCGCTGCTGGTATAAGTGAAGACGTTGCGATGGTGTTTGTGGACTATCATGCTGGTGAGAAGCATACTCTGTGAATGTGCCCACGCTCGTAACCACATCCCACGCGTGTTGCACGCCTCCCTTCCGTGCGGGCCTACTGTGTGCATCTGGCCTTTGTTGGTATTGTCTTCCTCGTCTGCGTTGATGGGATGTTTGCCAACCTGCGCGTTGAAGTCTCCAGTGGTGATTGTGGTGCGCTTCAGCTTGGCAGCTTCGTGGTGGAGCGCGGTCAAGCCGTCGAACATCTGCTGGACGTGGGCGTCGGGGTACCTGGAGTATGGGAAATAAGCTGTCACGACTCTCATCTTGCAGGCGGATGTGCCGAGATCGATGTAGGCGATGCGCTCGCTGATGCGTGTGAAGCATTTAATGCTGTGCGCGACCCGTCGATGAATAAGAAATGCAATGCCTCTTGATGTGGTGGTGTGGCCGCCTGCCGCGAATACATGAAAACCCAACTTCGTTGCCCACATCTCTCGTTCTTCTGTTGTCCTCCAAATTCATATAGTGTCACGATGTCTCATGTAACAGTCCCTAATTCGCAAATCAGTGTGTCGACGGACTCGTCTGTGCTGATGCATCTCGCATGTTGTTTGTAAGCTGAAAGCGGCTGAAGTCGGCGCATTGATCCCCAAGATCTTGTCCAAAAAAACGTTGCTCTTCTCGGACGGGAAGTCCGGCAGAAGGGCTTTGAGTCGGAACATGTGCTGGGATGTAGGGTAGCGTTGTCAGTGGTGGGGAGCGGAAACTGAAAGTCCGAATGTGGAGGCTGGGAGTCGAAAGGTGGAAGCTGGAGGTCGTGGGATTGGGGCTGGAAGTCGGAAGCTAGACACTGAGAGTCGGAAGGTGAAAGCTGGAGGTCGGATTGTGGAAGCTGGAGGTTAGAGGTCGGATGTTGGAGGTCAAAAGGTGCAGGTGGAAGTGGGAAGTCGGACGTTGAAAATTGCAGGTCAAAATGCTTATCCAGTGGAGTCTGGAGGTCGATAGTTGGTGGAAGCGGGAAGTGGAATGCTTGTGGTTGGAGGTCGGAGTGGTGAGCTGGTGGAGGTTGGAGTTGAACAGGTGGAGGTGGAGGTGGGCAGTCTGGTGCTTGTGGTTGGAGGTCTGAATGTTGGAGTGGTGAAGGTTGAAGGTTGGAGTGCGCGACGCTAAAGCGAGAGCCACATTTTGAAAACCACCCGCCCTCCATCAGTGAAACTACGGTCATTGTTTCAGTTTCAGGGCCATAAATGGTGAGGAAGTCTCAAGCGAAACGCCGGGCCCGCCCTTTCGACTGGTCTCGGGGCACGACATGGAGTTTTTGTCTAAGGAAAAGGAATGAAGGAGGAGGGTGAGCCACGCCCCCAATGCCAACCTCGGGGGAGAGGAGGAGGGGGGACGATTACCCGGCCCGCTGGAGGGGCGCGGTGGAGGCGCCCGAACCCAGACTCCGGGATGGGGCGATCATCGGAGAAGCACTGCAAAATGCGGGGCAGTCACCAGAGTCCAACAGTTGTCCGAGAGCGGGCCACAGCCTCAAAGCAAATGCGATATTAACCAAACACCTGTCGAGAGGAGGGGGAGGGGTGGTGGTGGGGGAGACGGAGGCGCGGAAGGGGAGGGGGCGGAGGGGGGAGGTCGGGGGCGAGGAGAGCGAGACAGGAGGGAAGACGAAGGGATGAGGCGGGGACTCGGGAAGAGGGCGGAGAAGTCGGCACGCCATGCCGTGCGGACGGCGCGGGTCCAAACAGTCCGCGTCATTCGTTGCTAGCTGGGCCAAGTGAAATAAACAGCGCGCGCCACATTATGCGCGCGCTGGAAAGACCCTTCCTTCGAGGAGGGAGGTCGAATCAGGCTCCGGGTGGAGTAGGAAACGAGGAGGGTGAGGAAGCAGGGGGGCGCCCGAGAAGAGCGGCGCCGCTGCCCAGGTCATGCGCCCAGAGCTTGGCCGAACGGGGTCCCCGCGTCAATCTCGCACTTCTCCACGTACGCGCAAAACTCCGCCAGCATCACCACGCTGTCGTTGCCGTACTCCTTGCCCTCGGCGTCCTTGCCGCTGTTCATCTTCTTGAACACCTCCTCGGCGCCCGCAGCGTCCAGCTTGGCAGCGTCGCTCAGGCCGACGAAGCCGTGCTTCGCGACGGTCTTGTAGCCCTGCTTCCACTCCGCCAGCGTCATCTTGCGGTCGTCGCCGGACTTGTCCTCGACGCTGCCGCCACCGCCGTCGATGAGGGCGAAGGCATCGTACATAGCTGCGTACAGGATGAGGTAGGTGCAGAGCAGCCGGAACTCCTTCGCGGTGACGTAGTCGTCCGCGCGGCTCCCGCCGCCGGCGATGTCCTTCGCGTCGGTGTGGGCGCGGATGTAGGAAGCGCGGAAGCACTTCCAGATGCGGGTCCCCTCCTCCTTGGGGTCCCCGTCGCAGCCCTTCTGCCCGAAGTAGGTGATCAGCACTTTCTGGATCCACCCGTCCACCTCGGCCAGGGAAACGTACCCGTTGCCATTCGGGTCGCAGGCTGCGAAGGCGTGTCCGCGGGCGACCCGGCCCTCGTCCGTCTTGTACGTCAAGCTCTTGAAGACATCGCAGAAGGTCTGGCAGGCGGGCGACATACCCGGACTCTTGAACTCCATCTTGTCGCCGCTGTTGCCAAGGTAGTTCGCGAGCTCGTCGAAGCTGAGCTTCCCGCTGCCGTCCGAGTCGAGCTTCTTCCAGACAGTCTCTATGGACTTCTCGTCGATCTTCGGGTTCCCCTTCTTGAGGAGCTTCGCAAACTCATCCTTGCTGATCGTGCCGCTGCCATCCGTGTCCAGCTCGGCGAACTTCGCCTTGAGAGCCGCGGCCATGTCGCCAAGCGGGAAAGTCGCAGGGCTGGCAACCCCAGAAGCGCCTCGAGCTGACCTGGATCCGTCCCTTGAGTTCAAGACGGCTTGAGCCAAAATGGCTACGGAAGGGACGAAGACGGGCAGGACAAGGAGGAAGGGCAGGACGAGGCTGGCGAGGGCCTCCGCGCGGCAGCGGGAATGCGCCCAAAAGTAGAGTTTGGATCTGGGCATCGGAAGATCCCTACTCTCATCGAGCGGCCTGCAGTGGGAAAGGGCCCGCCCTCACAGCTCGGCCGGAAACAGTAAGGAAGTACAGCCGGCCCGTAAGGATGCAAGGGCCTTGGACGCCTATGTCGAAGCTTCTCGAGCGGGGCGCGGCTAACGAAAGCGGCCAAGGACGGTTCGAGGAGGCAAGGATGCAGGGGTACCCTCGGGAAGGTTCCTCGTCCTTACTGTGCGGCTTGACTGTACGCAAACACGCCGGTTGAAGCAGCCTCGGATGGACGAAAATGCCTGCAGAGTGAAGGCAACGACCCGGCAACGGGCGGCGGAGTCCCGAGGAAAACCGTGGCGGCCGACGCAAACTCGGAACGCCTCAAGAAACTCGGAACTCAGATAACATCCCTCGCGATGGGCTGCCTCCGCGATCTCCCAGGTGAGGGGGGAAGGCTGCGTCTGGCTGGGATGACCCTGCCGATGACGTCCGCAGCAGAGGGCGTGCGAGCGGCTGCTCACGTCTCGTCCCGTTTCCTGGAGACGGCGGTGCAGCAACACCGCCGCTGGGGCCAAAGAGCTCCAAGGAGGACGCGCTGCAACACAGGCCCCCTTTGTGGCCTGGAAGCGCCGAGAGGAAGAGACAGCCGCCTGCTCGGTACTCGGTGGCTGGTCCAGACGGCTACGACTTCGTTGCGCCTCTTCCCCAGCCGTGGCGACGGATATGGCCGATCTTGGGGGGAGGATCTTTTGATTCCGCCGGCTTCCGCTGGCGCAGCGGGCCCCGTTTTACTTCTGCCAGCTTCCGCCCTCCCAGCGCCTTCCGCTGAGGAAGACATGCAAACTCCTTCAATCCTCGAACGCAAGGCCCTTTCTGGAACGCCTCATATGCGCGGCAGCGCAAACGCAGAGCACATCCTCCAAGACCTTGCCTCAAATGTTGCCTCCAGGGAGGGCCCAAGAGCTCCCCAAAGTAGCACCTAAAAGATGGTGATACCCTGGGCCAGCACCATTCGGAGATTGAGGGGCAACGATACGGGGGAAACATCGAGCTGGAATCGGCGATACATCGCCGATAGATCGGCGACAGGCCCACGATGGCGAATCCGGACGTTCCTGGGCGGGGTGGGGCTATCGGGGCCCTATCGGCGGTCGATGGGCGATTGGGGGGCGATTGGGGCTGGGACTTGTCAACCGTATGAGAACGAAGCTAACTCAGGGCAAAATCGGGTCGGGATAAATCGAGGATTTCTGTGAACTGGCGGGTCTGGAAGGGACGTATCGGGCAATGCGGCCGCTCCAGAGCGCTCCGGGGCGCTCGAAGAGCGCTCTGGAGTGCTCCTAGTGCGATGCATCCCGATCTAAGGCCTGCCTGACCCAGTCAGGGGAAACAGGAGGAGGAGGACCCCTGCGAACCCAAGACTCGGCAACGATGTTGGAATAACCCTCCCCGCCAAGCTCACTCTTCATAGGCCCCTAAAAAGATCCATGTTCTACTGAAGGGAATGCCCCCGTTGGGTGACAACCGTCCGAAGACCCTGAAATGTGTCAAAACACCATTCTCAGGATTCCAACGCCACGAGTCAACCTGACTGTTGCGTTTTGACAATCCTGAAACATTTCTGATAGGATGACCCTGGAAACCCGTGTAACTCTTGCAAATGCATAAACAAATGCGCGCAGCGCTAAATCGAGAACCACATTTTGAAAACAACCCTCCCTTGAGCCGTGAAACTCTTGCGATTGCTTAAAACGAATGCGCGCGGCGCTAAGGCGAGAACCACATATTGAAAGCCACCCGCCCTGCATCTGTGAAACTCTTGCAACCTGTTAAGAGTAATGGGCACATCGCTTGGACGAGAACCACATTTTGAAAACGAACGCCCCGCTGTCCATCCGTGAAACTTTTGCTACTTGTTGAGAAGAATGCGCGCGGCGCTAAGGCGAGAACCACGTGTTGAAAACGATCCGCCCTCAATCAACGAATCCTTTGCAAATTTTGAAAACGAATGTGCGCGGCATTATGTAAGAGAGAGAGAGAGGAAGAGAAAAACATACATAACAAAAATGTTTAACAAAAAAAAAAAAAAAAAAAAAAAAAAAAAAAAAAAAAAAAAAAAAAAAAAAAAAAACGGCAAAGCAATCTAAGAGCGATGTGTAGGAGCATATCTGGAAGCATACCCCTTAAGATTCACATGAGAATCCAGTTGTAGAATTCTGCTGTTCTCGCAGTCGCAGTCGCATTCGCGATGAAAGTCGCAGTGGCAACGGCAGTCGCAGTCACAGCCTCAGCCTCAGCCTGCCTCAGCCTCAGCCTCAGCCTCAGCCTCAGCCTCAGCCTCAGCCTCAGCTTCAGCCTCAGCCTCAGCCTGCAGCCTCAGCCTGCATCAGCCTCAGCCTCAGCCTCAGCCTCAGCCTGCCTCAGCCTCAGCCTGCCTCAGCCTCAGCCTCAGCCTGCTTCAGCCTCAGCCTCAGTCTGCCTTCAGCCTCGGCCTCAGCCTCAGCCTGCCTCAGCCTCAGCCTGCATCAGCCTCAGCCTCAGCCTCAGCCTGCCTCAGCCTGCCTCAGCCTCAGCCTGCCTCAGCCTCAGCCTCAGCCTCAGCCTCAGCCTCAGCCTGCCTCAGCCTCAGCCTCAGCCTGCTTCAGCCTCAGCCTCAGTCTGCCTTCAGCCTCGGCCTCAGCCTCAGCCTCAGCCTCACCCTGCCTCAGCCTCAGCCTCAGCCTGCCTCAGCCTCAGCCTCAGCCTCAGCCTCAGCCTCAGCCTCAGCCTGCCTCAGCCTCAGCCTCAGCCTGCTTCAGCCTCGGCCTCAGCCTCAGCCTGCCTAAGCCTAAGCCTGCATCAGAATTAAGTTTTGAGAACTCGAAGAGCACGAAGTGGCCTACAGTTGGCTCCGGGCATTCAAAATGTGGCCCAGGAGTTGAGTTTTGGGAACTCGAAGACCACGAAGTAGCGTACAGTTGGCTCCGGGAATTCAGAATGTGGCCCGGGAATGGAATTTTGGGAACTCGAAGAGCACGAAGTGGCCTACAGTTGGCTCCGGGCATGCAAAATGTGTCCCGGGAATGGAATTCTGGGAAGTCGAAGAGCACGAAGTGGCCTACAGTTGGCTCCGGGCATTCAAAATGTGGCCCGGGAATTGAGTTTTGGGAGCTCGAAGAGCACGAAGTGGCCTACAGTTGGCTCCGGACATTCAAAATGTGGCCAGGGAATGGAGTTCTGGGAAGTCGAAGAGCACGAAGTGGCCTACGGGCATTCAGAATGTGTCCCGGGAATGGAGTTCTGGGAGGTCGAAGAGCACGAAGTGTGTGTTTGCGAAAAAAGAATTCGGACACGAGTTCGGACACAGCTCCCCGGATGCCGCCCCGACCCCCCTGTGGAGTCATCTGCTGCTCTCTTCTGACCCCACTAGAAACCCCTCAGCAAAAGCTGTTAGGTAAAAAACGATAGAGAGAAAGAGAGAGAGAGAGAGAGAAAGAGAGACAGAGAGAGAGAGAGAGGGAGACAGCGAGAGAGAGGGAGAGCGCCGGAAAACGTCCCGGGGGGACCGCCCTATGAGAGCCCAGCGGGGGCGCCGGAGCGCCAGAAGGCTCACGCGTTGAAGGTGCTGGGGTGGACCAAACGACGCATGTACTACAGGAAATCTTCTTCATGAGCCTTCCACCATGGTAGGTTCCGAGCCAATTTCCACCATTTGGAGGAGTCGCTGCCAGTGGCAGCCATGTCGTGTAGATCAAGAACAATGTCATCATCCCAAAACTCCTTCTGTCCGCCATGTCAACCAAACGCCGGGCGTAAGTCGTGTGAATGTGAGTGGCAACTCGCGTCCAGTCGTGTCCGCCTGTCGCGATCGTGGTTGGCGACGCGCGCTGCGAAAGCCCACTCTCGCTTGAAATATGCGTCTTTCCAATTGTCGACTCGCGCTCGTTGGGCGAGTGCCAGAGAGGTGGAAGTACTTCTCCGTATGACATGAGCCCAAGATTATGATCCGTCGTCGTTGGCTCCGTCGTTTGCTGTTGTCAATGCTGGTGTCGGTGCTGGTTTTGGTGTTGTTGTCGGTGCTGGTGCTGTTGTCGGTGCTGGTGTTGTAGTCGGTGTTGGTGCTGTTGTCTGTTGGTGCGGGTTCTGGTGCTGTGGTGGGTGGTGGGGCTGGTGCTGATGTCGGTGCTGGTGCTGGTGGTGTTATCGTCGTCGTCGTCGTCCGGTGCCGTTGTCGGTGCTGGTGTCGGTGCTGGATCCGATGCCGATGTTGTCGGCGCTTGTGCAATTATTGTTGTTGCTGCGAGCGTGTGCTGTCTGTCGTGTTTGTTCGGGCATAATCCACCTTCTCGACGTACTTCTGATCGGTCGGAGCATTATCCGTTGCGTTCGTTGCAACGCGATGAGCACAACCTTGGTGAGTGTCCACGAATAACAACCATACATAACGCATGGTGTGATCGTGCCGCTGAAGCGCCGGAGCCTGCTGTGCAAGGGAAACTGTTTGTTGGTGAGTTCGCCCCGTAGATGGTGAATCTTCGACCATCCCGCGGCAATCCTGTTTGTTTCAGCTCGTGGTAGTGGAAATCGTAGAATAATAGCCTTCTGCCCAAGCATGTCGTACTTCGGTCGTTGGGTAGAATGTCTATACGTGCATCATCCAAGATGATGTGCGCAATTGTTCTGCCAGCCCTCCAGCTGACGTTGGTGAGAATATTTGCCTCGTCGGGGTGGAATGAGAGCCCACAGCACGATGCTTTGCCTTTCAAGTCGCGTAACAGGCATGTAAGTTGGCGAAGATTCGGGGCGCGCAGCAGAACGTCCTCTGCGAAGCGCAGGTTCGTGATGCCTGCTTCTTGAGATTAGCCGAGCGTGATGCCGAACCTTTTCCGCTGCCAACTGGGCTTGGCTTGTCGGAAGACGTGCTCCAACAGCGCTTTGAACAGAAAGGAGCTGAGCGGGTCTCCCTACTTCACATCCCGCTGCATGCTAAAAGTTCGACTGGTGGCATCAGTGCGGACAGTGGCCGTCTGCTCGTTGTACGTGTGCGTCAGGAGGGTGATGTACGCTTCGGGAGTGTGTTGCTGTCGTAGCGCATCCCACAAGTACTTGAGGCCCGCGCAATCGAACACCTTTTTGAAGTCGGTTGCTGCCGCGCAGTGGCGACTGCCAACAAGAAGATTGCTCATGCAACACTGCTGTCGTGAAGAGGTGGTCTTCGGTGCCGAACCCTTGCCGGAAGCCGGCCTTGTCAGGCCTTTGTTGTGCGTCAAATGCGGTTTCCACTGGGTTGCAGAGGAGGCGGGACATGCGTTTGTACAGTAGTGGGGTCATGGTAATCGGTATGTAATTTTGTGGTGGCGTAGGGTCGCCAGATTTGCATATCACCGTGATCGCCGTGTTTCTTTCCAAGTTTGCGGGTGATGGTTGGTTTGGCTTGGTTATGTCGCTGTAGAGCTGAAGCAAATGTAATTAAATTGCGGTCCCCCCCGCTTTCAAAAAAATCGGCTGTGAATCCTGCCGCGTCGCTGCACTTGCCGTGTCTCAGTTGCGTGATGGCTCGCCGAAGCTTGTTAGCTGTAAATAGTGGTATGCTCGAGTCTGCTGTCGTGGCGGCGTTGCTGGAACCGTCGGCATCGTGCTGCGTTGCTTTACAGAGTTGCTCGTAAAAGGTGGCGAAGACGTCTGCGATGCTCTGTCTGTTC